CTAATTATGATTCAAGCATAGGAAAGTTCAGAACAGTGGGTTTACCACATCCTCTGTGATGCTGCATGCGTGATTTGTTCCTCAGTCCACCTAATAATCTCCATGCTCACAGCTCATAAACACAGTATTACTGGAGTGGCAAAACAGCAGCTGCCGTCCCAGGAAACTGTTGGGGAAAATGTATTCAGATTCTAAGAGATCCTAACATTTTAGGGGAAGCAGAAGATAAGGCAGTATTCATGAGAGATGTAACACCTAAGAAGCATTACTTTCTTCTTCATGATCCCTTTTCTCAATTTTTTCATAGTAGTTTTTCATCTATTAGCTGCTGTGAGCAGTCTGTACAATTCTCTTGCTTTCACCATCCTGGAACAATAAAACCTGTTGGGCTTTTGTCACCACTAGACATTTACTGACTTGGCTAGGGCCCCAAAATCTTTGTTGCTCTGGCCCAGGGACCTGGGCCTTTTGCAAGTTCGTCTGCAACTTCATTGCTTGGCAAAGGGCGGTAGGTCCTGCTGGGGCGCTGTGTCAGGACACATGCTGTGTTGGGTTAGAAAATTAGCCCTGTCCCAGACAGAGCGGGCAACAGGGCTGCACTGAGCCATGTGCAGTGTGGGGGATCCCACGCTGGTGGGCTCCCTCCCCCCATACGGACACACTCTCCTGCCATCAGCAGAGCCCATAATTTAGGACAGTTTTTAAGGAAAAGTTTTCATTGCATAGCTCATGCATTTGGCTGATCATAAGAGGTCTGACATGGTTGTTTAACTGGCAAGCCCACCTTGCTGCATTGACTGACCATCTCTTATATGTATCTAAACTTACCCACCTGAAGATCCTCCATCTTCACGTTGTCCCTTGCACAGCTGAGAGGGAATGACACCTCACGTTGATATTTGTTGACTTCTGGAGCTTCAGAGCATGAGTTTCAGTGTGGGTAAAAGCAAACAAACAAGCAGAAGGCCTGAGATTTTAAGAAAAATGAGGGAGAAGCAGTCAATAACAACTTCACAGTCAGAAAAAGAAAAGCATTCTGTGTTATGTGCACCCTCGGCATTAGATTATTATAACAGCCTACCTTTCGCAGTGCCATCTACAGTCAGATTTGGTCTTCCCATTACAGTTTTCACCCCTAGCTGTTCAGCTATTCCCACTTTTTCAAGAGCAGACTGAAGCATGGTATCTCTTCTTGCCTCCTGTGGGTTTGCAGGTGGGTGGGTGGGTGTGTATGCGGGAGCATGTGTACGCAGGGGGTGTGTGCACATCTGTCCACCTCTGCTCTTCGGCGATCTCTGTAAGCTCTTTGCCAGCAAAATACTTCTGATGCCTTTTCCACCCTGGTATAAAATGGAGACAAGTCAAGTGCAGTTGTCAGCTTGGTAAGCAGCTATCCAAACGACACTGTGACCGAGGGAGGAAACCCATCCGTGAGACGGCTGCATCTTTATCACGTGATGGCCATGGCTTTGGGAATGCCAGAGTAGCATCACTGGTCTACAAGACTATCAAATAGCCCTCATTAGCTCAAAGCAAAGCTAAATAAGGTTTCTGAAGAGGAGCTACCTGCAGTTTGCTTTTCTCCTTAAAACATAAGCTTTTCCTTCAGAATTTGTGTTTCCATGCCCAGGGCCGTTGTGGCTCCAGTGCATCAGACGACCGCATTTAGCCTGCTGCAAGGGTACATGCTACGGGGACTTGGAGCTGAAGAGCTCCAGCCACACACCAAGCCAGCGACAAACCTCTACGTAGAGCTGCCCACAAGGAAGGCAGTGATGGCCAAGGTGAGGGTCTTTATAGGGAAAAAGAGACCAAGATAACCACATTGTTCACACCAACTACTCACACATCATCTAACATTAGCATCTTTAAATTATCACTTAAATAAAAACTACTGCTAACTCACAAGTCATAAAAGTGAGGAGCCAAAGCCGTACTGAGGTGGGAAGCCTTGTCAGCCTGTCATGGCCCCAAAGCTCCTTCCTCAGCATTGCCCAAGCAGACGGATCTAGCCTTGCTCCTGGCCTCCGATGGGGAAGACTGCAGCCCCACAAGCTCCGCAAGCTCTTACAGCTCACAGAGGTGCCGGGGCTGCTGTCCCACGCTCTCTTTCACAGGGTTGCACAGTTGAACTGCGTGGTCTCTCTGCTTATGGGTGGCATTGCAAAATGGGAGGCTTGTGAGCTGAAACACCATCTTCTCCCTCTCGCTGGCCTGACAACAGCATGACATGAACCCCACAAATAGCCTCCTCAGCGCAAGTCAGCGGAGTGGTGTGCCAGCCAGGTCAGAGCATCTCAGCATGTGGTCCATATCACAGGAAAGCCCACCTGCACTTCTCCCGTCTGGGCTGGGAAACAAAGCAATAAACATGCTTCAGCCTCCTTCACCCTTTCCAAGGAGTTACCTTCACTCGCTTAATCCAAACTCAAAAGAAAACACCACACGCACTATTTGTAAGTTAAAAACGTACCTGAGCTGAGCTTTGAGAACAGAAACAAAACTTCCCAAGGGATCTCCCACAAGACAGCCTGGCGTAGGCCTTTCTGGGGCCCCACTGGGACTATTGCTCCAGCTGAGGAGAAGCAAAGCTGCTGTGAGGACAAATTGACTTTGGTTAAGGTGCACAGAACTAAATAAGTTTCTTACATTGAGGAATTTTTTTTTAAATGTCATTTTTGTTGGATATTCTTGGAGAAAAGGAGGAAGAGTTTATCACTCTCTTTGTCTTTACCAAGCTTTGGGGTTGGAAGCGTAGGGATATCTGCTGGCACCGATTTCAGGGATTTAAGCAACTATGGGCTACACTTCAAGAACAGGAAGAGACATGAAAGCTGCTTACACCGATTTTTTTGCTGTTTTCTTTGCTCTTTGGTCAGGACATATTTTAATTGGGAATAGATGAAGGAAAGAGAGGGCACATTTGTTTCTTTATTTTCTGATAGACCATGAAAAAATTAAGTAAGAGTGATTAAACCAACAAACTTTCTTTAATAAATTAATAGCAGCATCACAAAACCCTGATGTGAATGACCCAGAGGAAGTTGGGTAAGTGACAGTACTTAACCATTCACAAAAATGTCATCATCTGCTGGCAGGGAAAGAACGCAGGCGCTGTAAGGCAGTCCCCTTGGCTCTTCATCGAAACAGGTAACGTACATCCGAATGGGTCCAGCTGAGTAGCAACACTCAACATATTTACAATTCTGGTGCTGAATATATTTTTAAAAACATTTATAAAAAATTTGTAAATTCTCTGTTCAGTTCTCATTATTTACATCCAAATATAGTAGGTTCCCTTTTTGCCCATACAACAGAACTGGCAAGAGTAAGACATGAAGGCTCCTACGCAAGGACAACGCCTTTGTGTGGACTTTGCTAACTTGTAGGACGCTGTGGCAAATGAGCTATTCACACATGATCTATTCACACATGTGCTAGAAGCTACAGTAATTCAGCTTATTGCTAAACGCTTTCAAAGTCTGTGGTTGGCTTTTAAAAATATATATATGTATATATATGTACATACGCACACATATATATACACACACACACACATATACATGTTTGCAAAAGATGTGCTATGAAGTCACCCAAGGCAAAAAAAAAAAAAGTTCAAAAGCAATGCCACCTTTTTGATTTTTATGTGCTGCTTGAGATAGATAGTCCGATGTGACGCAGAGCAAAGGGCAGTCACCGAGGCAGGCACCAGCTTGCTGCCTTCTGCACGCAGCAAGCCACACTCTTCCTCGAGACACCTTATCTGCCTCCAGGGCCATGTGCTGCCTTTATGGGAGGGCTGTGGATTTGCGCAGGTGGGAGGGAAACAGAAAAGAGGACCATATCAGGCTGGAAGGAATTCAGCAGTAGAAGCAATCCCTATGTTGCATTTTGGTAGTGGGTTTGCTGTGTGCAGCAAGACAATGGTGTAACAGTACGCTAAAGCACTAGCAGAATTTTCTATCTATCGCCCTTAGGAGTTAATTTTGGTTTGATGAACACAGCAAGCTTAGAGTACAAGCAGATCATGTTAGTAAAACGCAACTTATCCAGGCCTAACGTCAAGCTTTTCTATTCTGAGGATTTGCTGTCAGTGATGCCAAATGCATCCGTGTTAGATGGGCATGGCTACATTTGAGGATTAGTTAATGAAGATGTAAAAACATGAAGGCTTAGATCTGGCATTAGGCAATAGTCTACACAAGGGAAATTGCATGGGAGGCATCACCCCGGAGGCACGGGGCCAGGAAGACATGGTGTCTTTGAGGGTTCATCTACACAGGAACACAGAGGAAAATTAATTTAAATTACTCATGGTGTGAATTAAAAGCAGATTAGTTAAACTACATTAAACCCCTATGTGGATGCTTTCATTAAGATTTAAGTGGCTTTAATTTGATATAATATAATTTTCTTTGGGGAGCAAAATGGACTAAATCAAATTTAAAAGTTAATCCAGATTATTCTTCCGCATAGACTAGCTCCAGGCCACAGTTCCTCATGTGCTTCCTTCCTGTCCCTGGCCATAGCTTTTTTTTGAACCATGCCACCAGCAAGCGACTACAGCCCTGTCCTCTACCCAGCTCTGCCCCCCTCCTCTAGAGACAGGACAAATGAGCAGGGCCCCTCATTTGCACCTCTACCACTGAGCACCCCACCAGGGAGACAGATGTAGCCAGCACCCCATCACCTGCCCTGGCAGCACCACATGCACCCTTGCTTCTACTCTGCTCCTAAAACAGTGGTTTATCACTGGAATTTGAATACTGCAAAACCCAAGACAGGGAGTGGTGTAGGGGGGTTGGAAACCAAATGCAAAATAAGTCAAGGAATAAAGAGATGTGAGGAGCGAAAAGACAAGAGCTCTTGCAAAGCCCAAACGCTCTTCCCTGGGTAAAACAA